CGGTTCTTTTCAAATGAAATTTTCAAGTCTAAAGTAAATACCCCTAACATAAGTTTGCAGAACCCATTCCCTAACAGAACACAGAACCGAAAATTAGATACTGATGATGCCAAATCTTTCAAAAATATTCTGAGCCTCAAGTTAATTAGCTTTTCACTGAAGAAACCACAAAAACCTGGTAAGGCAGCAGACAGTGGTCAAAATGCCCAGTGATCCATCTTTTACAGTCTTCTTTCCCATCTCCCCAAAATTAACATTTTTTAATATCTAAAAGATCGAAAATCAAAGGAAGACACTAACCAAAGCTCGCAAATAGCAATCGGTTTGTGCCACGCATGCGCTTCCTGTAACCTACTCTACTCCTCAAAGTTTCTCACTTCTTAAACACAGGAGTCACCTCATGGATTGCATCTTCTCCTACAGTGTTTTGCACAGAAAACGTTAGAAAATTTTCACATTTCTAACTGTTTAAAATGATGAAACAATGTGTTTATTCCTGGTGTAAAACTACCTCTTCCTTTCTACCTGCTTCTGTTTCCCTCTCCATCCATCTTCATATACAATACTTTGTTTCTTAGGTCTTCTCTGTATCCCAGCTCCTGATCACTCAGCATTTGCTTTTCTTACTGCACTTACCTGCACTTGCACTGGCCAATGTCCTTTTCCCTGAATGGATCTTACTGCACAGGTTGGCTGTTATTTTTGTAGCCCCTTCGCCCCCTCTTGCTTAACGTCACAGAGGCAACACACTGAGCACCTAGTGTCAGTCTGGGAAACAACCTCAGCCTTCAATGACTGCAGGGCAGCATAACAGATCAGACTCTATTCTTAGTCCATTTCAGAAAAAAGAACCAACAAATGCTAAACATAAGCAGAGATTGGGCATTTGGAGCCACAGAATTTGAAGCACAGGAAAGCAGGAAGTTTGAACAAATCTCTATGGGAGGCTAAAAAATTAAGAGCTTTAGAATGGCAAAACTGAAGCAGTAAAAAGACAGCAGAATTGCTTGTGATCACAGAAAGTATCAGCATCAGAGACAGACACAACTCACTACCCCTGACGCAGAGTCCCCACTTAAAACACTGGAAAACTAAACCCAGGAATAGCTCCCGAGGAATATACTGAAACGTGAATAGTACAGCACCTATCCGTGGTAACTACCAGTGTGCATCCCCTTATGCTGTGGCAGCTTTCATTTAACAGCACAGGTCGTGCTCCATCCTCCAGCAGAGCCAGTCATTAGAAAACACGCTAATTCAAAGAGGAACTCTGCTTCATTCTGAAACACCTGAAAGCCCCTCACATGTTTTGGCCACTACTACAGCATCAATTTGTTGATCACGTTTTCCGTTCTGCTCTAATAGCTTAGGTTTTAGTGAGATTATGGTATTTCTCCATTGTACACCACAGAAATGAACAGTTCTAAAGGGATTATAAATGGTTCTATTGTAAGTGCATTTTGTCTAATTGGAAGTTATTAATCCACTATTATTGCTACCAATCTTGGCACCTCTGAACACAACAGACTTAAAATTAATAAAACGCAATGTACCGGTGGATTAAGATCATGAAGTTACAGCACACAAAGTGATTAGGAGCTGTTATTTCAACTGATTTCACATTTGTTTTTACTTAACAGACTTATCTTATTAGAAAGATTCAATATTCCTTTAAAAATTAAAGCAATGATTATATATTTCTCAAATGCTTTCCCAACTTTTACTGCAAGACTTTTGCAAGAAGTTTTCTCCCTTCTTTCTTGTTCATATGAAATTTTTTGGTGAGGTAACAACTTTGATTGTTGTCTCTACATACTAAAGTACTGTAAATTAAGAGCATCACTAAGTCATAAGAGTCACTATACAGGGAACAAACATTAAGAATTTGTCACTTCATATTTTTATGATTTAAAAAAATTTACAGGGCACTGATTTCAGGATCCTGGAAATAAACTAGTACTTCGGGGTAGATCAAATTTAATCGTGAAACAAGTCAAACCCTTTCTGAACCACAGCGGTAAAGCTAGAGAAGAGAGACAAGTACCTCATAATTTGAGAGGAAATCTAGTAATTTTGATCGAGACGAGATGTAGAGTAGTGGTGTCATCACCCGTCGAACAAACTTTTCAATATAAACAGCACTCATAGGGCCTTTGTATTCAATTGGTCCAAAACTAGTACCAAAAAAAATAATAAAACATTAAGACTTAAATTAACAATAGAGAGAGTCCCTCCTGGGGGTGGCAGAGATAGGAGTTACATTGACAGCACGCTCAGCCTCTAGGGAATTGCTCTCTGTGTTAATTAACAGTGGTTTCTGTAACTGATGGAGGAGTTGTGTTACCAGACTCAAAGTACAGCGCAGAAATTGCAGTGACTCTAATGCAGTGTCTATGGTAGGCGCAGTGTGTTGGTGGGGACGAAAGGATGGAGACCTCCTGAGTCCCATTAAAGAAGTTGGTAATATGCACGTATGAATTATATGATCATATAAATATCTTTCAGCTTTGTCTGAAGTAAATACATGTGACTTAAAAATACAGATCTGAAAAATGCGACTATTTTCACTCGATTTTTTTTTAAAAACTTTAGAAGGTTCAAACAGTATCAGTCTGAAAAGGTGCAATATTTTTACATGGACTTTTACAAGTAGCCTGCAAAGCAGGGACAAATCCAGTCCCACTGCTGACAAAACAGTCTACAGTTTCTCCCCCAGCCATCTGATAAACCAGGTCACATCACATTAGGCAGTACAAAAACAGAAGGTGGGCCAGGCCTCGCGGCTATGAATTCCAGAGTTTCTCCTTCATCCCCTTGAAATCCTGCATCTGATTTATTATCATTATGTTCAACAAAGCATCACAGTCCAAAATGAAATCAAACACAAAAAGCAGGAGGAATTAGTCCATTCCCACTGAAGAATTTAATGTGATGCATTTTTAATATAATTTATACATACAGACACTCTGAAAAATATCAAACTTGCACCTATATTCAGATGCTTTGAAATGGTCTTCTAGAGCCCACTAGATTATTCTGCATCCTACACTGGTTTATTACAAACCTTTGTCTTAACAGCAACATGTACTGCTTCAACATCTCACATGCCCAGTATGCAACATACGAGCTTTAATACCTTGGGCATGAGGGGGTTTTATGAAGTATCAGTATGAATTTACATCTCATCTTGTTGCAACTTTGGTTAAGGTTACTGATAATACCCAAGTGTATCCAACTAATGTGTTGTAATTTCAAGATCAAATAAGTTTAAGTCAATGTACATCCAAGTGGGATCGTTGGGGTTTTTTTATTATAGTTTGAATTATGCCAGTGCCATCTGTATCTATTCCAAGTTCAGCTGACAAAGATCAGGACTGTTCCTCCTCGATACATAAATCCCCCCAAAAAAAACAAAATTCAGCCTCTGTAATGGAAGAGAGATACAGTTCAAGATTGGGGTACGCAAGTAAAATGCAAGTGATAAACGACAGAGCATCCAGCTCTCTTGCACCTAGCATTAGAAAGTGTGTTTCCTTACCTTCTGCTCCACACAAAGAGGGGGGGAAAAAAAATAAGATAATACATACAAACACAAACAAAATAAATAAAAGTGAGATTGTGTAAAATCTTATACAATGATATCTCAACGTTTAGAGCATAAAAAAGTGTCTGTAAAGTTCAAATTTAGAAGAAAGTTTTCAGTACATCGTGCCATTTAAATATGGACTTAAATTCCACTAACTTCAATAGCCCTCAAGTATGTACTTTATTGCTGTCACAAATTGGGACCAGTTGATATAATCCACCTACAGAGCAAGCAGACAACTGAAATAAATATATAAATCTGAATTATTTGCTTTTCATTGGAGGCAGAACTTCCAGGAGATTCATGGGCAAAAGAAAATTTCCTCAAAGATGAAAAATTGCGCAGCATGTCATTCAACTGACATTTACAGCCATTCGTGACACCTAAGTAGCATACAGGATTGAGCTTCACCCAGAATCTCCTCCTCTATGACTATTCACTATAGCTATAAATATAACACTTTCAAAACGCAACATTTTACTCAAACTGTTTCCCAAAACAACAATAAAAAACCCAGACTGTACATATGAAATCTTACCTCCGATGGTATAAGTGTATCACAGGAAAATAAAAGAAATGCTTCTGCTTCCTGCATTTCCCCTGGTTCCACCAGCAATTTACAGCCACAAACAGCACCTGCAAAGCAGATAAAAATTCACAGCTAACAAAGTACACTACTGTGACCTTCTTTATGTAACATGTATTTCTTCCAAGCCATTCCATCTGCTGTTTTCTGTGTTTTTTCAACTCAGTATTCCTTTTCTGCTCCTCTTAATTATCACTTTTTTTTTTTTTGTAATTTTGCAACAGCAATCCTTTTTGTAACTTTTCTTTCTAGTTTTTAAGCTTCTTAATCTAAAGTCTTCACATTTACTAAATTAGTCATAGTCCATATTAATTACTTCTTCTGCAGAGTGGAGCTCAATGAGCATAGGTTTAGGACAGGTGTACCTGTGAAGTGTCCATAGGTAACCAACTGCTAGAAAGCAGTGCTACAGCTGCAATCTTATATGATTACCGGTGTCTCCAAGGATCCTGGAACCAGAAGCAAACTCCCTGTAATTTCTGTCTGAAGGCAGGTGAATAAATCTGAGAACACCTTACAAGAAGAGATTTGTGGAGTTCCCCATTCAGTAGCAGAAATAACAGACAAATGAGCAGGAATCACAAGTTTTCTCCTTTTATTCTAGCACTCTCCATGTTAAATTAAAATTAAGACAACTGGCTGAGTTACCCTAAAACGTGAGCATTCAAGTCCTACTGGTTCCCATGGGATGACAGAAATTAGCATCAGCTTGGAGATTAAACAGCTATCAAGTCACGTTTAAGATTTGTTGTCTTCTCTGGAGTTACCTGGTCTGACAATTTGCTGGCCACATGTTCTATTTCTTCTCTTGCTGCAATGGACTGGCCACACCATGGCGCATAGAAGAAATACAGCACAATTTCTGAATCCTGACGAAGGTGCTCTGCATAGTCTAATTGTCCTCGAAAAAGATCAATGACTGGAGATCTTGTGGAGAAAAAATTCACTGGAAGCTTCGCTGGCATTGTTACATCTTTTGCTCTGCTGCAGGAAGGAAATTAAGAGTGGTTATTGAGACTGTACAGCAACAGTTAAAAAAGTGTGCCCAAAGCCCTAATGTTTAGTCTTAGCAAAGGTCATGCAATGACAAAACTTCAGAAATCGATGCAAATTACTACAACTTAGATTGTCTGAGTTAGTTTCATGAAATACCATAAAAATCTAAAGATCACCCTTAACAAGCTTTAGAAAGTCACGCTGTGATACCATGCACTATGTTTATGGGTATGTTAGCTCACACTCTTATTGCTGGTTGCTATAGAGCATAAAATTACCAGGAAGAGTGATTTCTTTGGATTTCTTCCCTGGCCTCATCCTCTTTTAACACTTGTACTTTAGGTAACAGCACCCTGATGAGAGAAGAGACACTGGTCATAAAGTTTTGTGATGTGATGTTTATATAAACAGAGACTAGTACCTTGCCTTACACTTTGCTTTAAAGTATTCTACACTTCTATTCTTTTATGTTGTACTAGGAAAAAATATGTAAGTGTGTGTTAGTTTATTTTACTGATTAGAGCAGTGACTGCAAACTGTGCAGGGCACATTTCCTCTTCAATGTAAGGACAACACCAACAAATAGAAAATCTCGATTTAAAGCTATTATGACAGATTTTCTTAAGAGAAATTAGTTAGACCAGTAATACCAAGAACGTAAACCAAATACTCAGGAAACCATTTTCTGTCAAATTAGCAACCAAACAATCCAGAACTTGGCATTTCCAAGCTGTTCAGAAGTTGTTATGGTATAAATTGCCTTAAGTGCAAGTGAATGATCATACTCTCTCTTTTATACTCTCTTAATTCCAAAATTTTCCACTAGCTGTATGTACACTAGAGCAAATCCAATTAAAAACTAGACCGCATCACTGTAATGATCAATTTTGCCATGGTTCCTTATGTGACAGGAAGTTTTAGGAAAGACAGCACACTCCTTTAACTTGTATCACAATAAAAAGCTAACAACAAAAAAAAAATAATCTTTTTACCTCATATTTCGTCTTTCTCAGATTACCATTTTAGTAATTATGATAAAATTATTGAGCCCTGAACACTGTCAAACTCGTACGTTAAGCAACCTCCTAAACAACGCTGCCACATTTTCAAACTTTCTATCATTCCAGTTTGTAAGAAGCACAGACCCACAAAAGCCACAGCTCTTCTCTCATTTCCAGGTTGCTAAGCATACACTTAAAGCTCAAGATTTAAGAATCGGTCCCAGTATATTTCCTAAAATTTATGGAAATTCTTAATTCATATATGAGACAATATTTGCTTCAAAATCCAGAATTTTAAAAATACTGACTGGTCCCTCATGTTTACAATTCACTAATTCCACTACTCAAAAAATTATGTTTTCACACAGATGGCCAAAAATCTAGTTCCTTCTGTGGACTTCTACCTTTGTTCCTTCCCTTCTCCCCCAATCAGTAACCCAGCACCGCCTTCCCCAACTGTTAAGTTCTTATGTCAACTCACAACCAACGCCTCTGGTTCCCTCCCATTCCTGCACTCCGTGCTTACCCAAACTGCTAGTTTCTTCCCATGATTTCTAACTGCTAGCTGGACAGGACACAACAGTGATAACGCTACGGCTCTAACTCACAGGTCAGCTCACACTAACACATACTTCTTCAGAGACATTAACTAGAATTTCTCCTCTTTAACTAGTTTAATGAAAATGGACAACCTAAATATGTTTAAAACCTCTGCTTCCTCTACTGAATTAAACTGAAAGCAGACAACTGGTTCAAGAGTTACGGTGAGTGGGCAGACGGATGCATACAGAACATAAAAGCATAAGCCTTAAAAATGAGATATAAAATTGGCTCCGAATTGCAAGGAAGTGTAAAACAGATCAACAGAAATCCCATGACATGAATGGAATGAAGGAATGAAGGAAGTACACGGCTACTCTCAAATATGAAAAAACCTCTCGTAATTATTAAAAACCAAAACACAATAAATCAATAGCTACCAGCTTCTTAAGTTGATCTGCTCAGTAGTGTCTCCCTCTGCAATACCAAATGCATAACAGAGTATTTTTACATAATTCCCAGGTTTACAAAGAGAATAGTGCTCTGATCCTGTAAAAATTATACAAATATAAACTGAGGATTACATAACACACAATTATACAAACATAATAATCACATGCTGTTTATTAAAACACTGATTTTCTTATTTACCTGCTGCACAGAGCCTATAAAAACTTAAAACTCATCAGCAGAACAACCTGGCAACAAAGGAAGGCATATGCAAGTGCCTGTAGGATCAGCAACTGCCTTTGACTGCAAGGTCCTTAGAGTGGGGTTGTCTTGAAAGACATTTGCATAGTGCCAGAAATAATTCAGGTTCCAAACCACAGGCTTCCCATAATAATACATGTTAGCTCAGGCTTCATTTGGCTATTCCTTGAGCCACTATAAACCTGCAATACCTCAAACCCCACCAACAGATTGCCCTGTAGTAAAGGAATTTTCCCTTTCCATACTTTTTTATCCATTGGTCTCAAAAGTTACGTGTTGTAAGTATAGTGGCAGTAACTGTACTCTGGTGCTGAGACTTGCTTGCAAACCGTACCGACTTGTGGTGAGAAACTATGTGTGCAGTTAACACATGCAATTAACTATCCTGCAGATTGCATGTGGAACTTTTACACTTGAATTTTCTATGTTTCTGAAAGCAACAGAACAGGGAATACTTTTTTCATATTAGTTTGTCTATTTAACTACAATCTGAAAAGCCAAAACCCTTTAATCAAAATTCCTGCACAGAGTACAGAGTGGTGAGAAGTACATTCCATTTGTGAGCTTTCAAACACAGCTAGCAGTCAAATGAAAGGAACATGCAGGTTTTAAATAAAGGGGTGGAGGAAGAAAACAGAAGCATCACTGTAAGTTAAAAAAAAAATAAAATCATTTAGCAATGGACGGTGGAACAAGGAGGTGATTAAGTTCTGAAATCCTTCACCATACATCCTGTAATATGGCAAGAGCTTTACACCTTCATCTAAATTGTGTGGTCACTGAGATACAGACTACTGAAACAGGGGCACTGCTGCTCACAGAGCAACTCCTTCATAGACTTAAAATCCACCCGAATCAAATAACACATATGCTGTAGACAGGCGAGAAATGAAGGCCTTAGTGTATTTCAGAAGCGTTACCTGTGAATCAAGTGTTTCTTAGAATAAAAATCTGTGTGATTCTGCAGAACGGAGAAGGAATCAGATCCTTATAGCCTTCTCCCACTCCCAAAATTAAACCCCAAATGCAGTAGATGGTCTTAAATTAACATAGTATGACTTGAAGCATGTAACAGTCACCTTGACCTAAAACCCATCCAGAACATTCAGGTCCCGGCTTAGGCTCCACAAACGAGCTGCCGAGCATTTACGTGCTACCGCGCACCACCCGACCCTCCCCACGACAAACACCGCCCGGTTCCACGTACACCGGCCTCCCCGCAAACGGGAACCAGAGAGACTTTTGCAACGAAGAAAGATCCAGCTCCCAAGAGGAGCACCACCAGACTGCGGGGGGGGAATAAAATGCGCTTGTCAGAAGCAGGTGCGGGTAACAGGGGTGCCGACACCAACACATGAGCCAGAACAGACCCCTTTCCCCCCATTTTGTGCCCCCACGGCGACGCGGCGGGCTGAGCGCGCCGAGGGAAGGGCCTCAGCCCCCTCAGTGCTGCTGCGGCCAGGCGAGGTACGAGGTGGAGGTGAGGAGAAACGATTTTCTCAACA